TGAAAACTTGAGCTGTACAAACAAAGGAGAGGGGAGGAGACTGTATTGGCCTCCGCCAGCTCCTCACTGAGCAGTTGTATCAGTAATAGCTTTTTGCTGCCCTGGGCATGGCCTTGCCTCATTTGGCCGCACACAGCTATTATTCTGGGAGGCAGCTAGTGAAACGTCCCAATCCATCTGCCTGCTTTTCGTGGGCTGATGCTTTCCTTGATGTTGACAGCTGTCTTAATATTTCTGGGCCACCTGCCACATAGTAGATACTCTGCTCTAAAATACAAACAGAAGTTTCTGCCTCTGGTGAACCTTTATGAACAAAAAGTTTAGCATCGATACGCTTGCATCCTTCTTTAAATGCTTCCACGATCAGCACTGTTGGGTTATTCTCATACTTTGGAAGAGTGCTTATGCTTTGGGAGTTAGAGCAAGGTGAATTAGAACTTTTCTCATGTATCAAATAAGCTGTTGAATTGCAGTCTTTTTGTGGAAGTCAAAGTGGTCACAGGAGGCAGACAAAAGAGCATACTGACAGTTACCTCCTCTGTGAGCCGTCTTGGAACCTTCTTTACTAAAATAGGGGTACTGCATATATATATAATATATTTACACACACACACACACACCTATAGAAAGATTTCCCCTGTCAAACTCTTTTTGCTCATCTATTTGCCCCATTTACTCACTGAGAGAAAGTACCTGGTCTTGCTCATCATTGTAGCTCTAAGAATGAGCATGCACCTAACACATAGTTGGCACTGAGGGACAGATCCAGATTATGAGGTATCTGAAGATACAGTTTGGGGGAATCTTGTTTAAAGAAAAATGATTTAAAATTAAAAATTAAGTACAAAAGCAAATGGAAAAGTTAATCATGCAAATCACTAGTTGTCAAAAACTTACTAATATTACAGACATTACAAAGTTTCTAAAAGCATTATATCTATCATTAACTGCCTGGCATACCTCTGTAATACTTTTCTTATATATTTGGCAGTATACTCTTCAATGGCCTTTCATATGACAACAATTTTCTAATATTGTCTATACATATAATGGAAAGATAATTCAATCTTTCCTCTAGTTTGGTTGAGTGTATTTGTTATTGATAGAAGGGCTGTGTAAACATGCCAACACTACATAGTCACACATAAACTCACTTTCCGTAGTACTGCTACAGGTTTGTGTCCCACAAATAAGAATTCTGATAAATTCTACTTTATGTGATTTTCACTTTAAAAAAGTCTGGTGCATTTACAGGTATAAAAATTGTATACACTTCATTATTGAATAAATGACCGTTATGAGAAATTGTATCAACTGACAAGTCATTCTTCCTCTTGTATTTTATTTCTTATGCCTGGAATAATTTTCCTCAAGTCCTCTGCCTTGCCAGTGGGTTTCAGTCCTGGGCAAGTTCACTCTTAATTCAATGAGACTGAAAAATGACAATAGAACATTCTTGGTGTGAAATGGTTTATGCCCAACTTCATTCCTATGGTGGCAGGTCAAGTGCTAAAATCCTGTCTACCTCCAGTGCAAGTGTGCATGCAACAAGCCAGTCTCTGCCTCTGGGCCTCTCTTTCCACCACAGCCATCTCAGCGCCTGTCCTTGGTGCTGCCACCGTGCCAGCCTCTGCTCTCCTGCAGTGGAGCAGTCCGAGCACTGGGCGGAGCTCTTTATATATAGAGTCAATAATAATGTATTGCCCCCAAGTGTGTAGTGAGCAAGCCAACCAGGGTCAAGGGAGAATCCTGGCCATAAGAACTTTATTTTTCTCTATGTTTCCTTTTGCTATCATACATTTCTAATCTTGTTTCACCTCTACTACCCACATACTTTCAGTGCCACAGGTGTTAGGATATGTTTGTCTTACTTCTGGTCCTGCGTTTTGGTTGTAATGCTTGGTGAGTTCTACAATGGAGAAATTGAAATTAAAGCAATAACTAAACTCTGGAGGGTCTGAAAACCACATAAATAAACACCACTAAATACAAACTATATGTAGTCCCAACTCAAATTCCCCAGCAGATCCCCAAATTCCCCCATAACTTCAACACAGCTGGCTCTAGGAGAAGTGTGATGGAAAGGGGATCCAAGTGGAAAGAGACTGTGGTCTTAATCAATTGCAGTTAAAATATTACTTCTGCAAATTTCATAAACATCACATGACCATGTGTTCACATTCCTTAGTTCACACTGGAAGAGACTGTGCCGTGAGGGTCTTGAAACTTCAGCTTCATCAGCTTCACAGTAAATACGTTTTTATTGCAGACATTCACTAAGTGTCTCTGGAATAGCAGAACGAAGGAATGAAGACAACCGTGCTAAATCTGTATCTCTGAGATCCTCACAACTCCAAAATCAATATTTTGATAGACCACCTAATGTAATCTTAGAATTTAGTATACAGAAATTTGTTATGAATTCAAAATATAAGGATGTAAGACATCCAGGAACTGATATTAGAAAAATAATAAATGAAAATTCAAGGGTCTTTGTTTTATGGCCTTAAGCTTATTTTTCATTGACAAAGTTTTTATTACTGATGCAGGGTGCCATTTGTACTTTTAATTCATTCAAATGCTTTGTTCTACCATAGAGTGTATTAGAATCATTAGATATTATCTCTTTCATGAAGTAATTGCCTTTGAGAAAAAAATATATCATGGTCCAACTGTTCACTTTAGGGGGACTCTTCATAACATTAAGATTATCTTCCACCTTTGTAAGCTATCCATTGACAGAAGTAATTCTATCTGGATGAACATTAATATTATTTCTACTACTTATACTATCACAAACACTATAGAAATTTTCTATATGAAGGACTTTATACATCATGACCTTATGCCTTCTCACTTACTATAGTGTCTGTTTAAGAAATATGACTATCCTAGCATTTTCCTTAAGAGCTATTTCTTAGAGAAATATTGTTAGTTAAAACCATAATTCAGTACTAAACCTTCCTGGCTCCTACCACTTTTATCCCCAGGAAGACTTCCTGAAGAGGTCATCCTCAGGGTAAACATTAGGGTGTAGGGACTGCTTTGGTCACAGTACAAGCTGGGGACACATCTGGTAGTCATTTAACACTCCTTTGAGGAGCTAAATTATTTTCTGGGCCTTCTAGCTGGAGGGAACATTTTACTTCATATTCTATTTGCTTTCATACTCTCTGGGCCTTTTAGTAAGTGAGCCTTTAATGGAGATTCTCACCTAAAATGATAAGGGTAGAACTGGGAATTTTACTTGTTCTGTGTATTATTCTAGGTTCTTCCTATTTTCTCAAATCCAACAGAGGAGGAAAGATTTCTAAAAGAGAATGTGCTGGTCAGTCTTGGGGAATAATCTGAGATGAACCCAGCTGAAGGAAACTGACTGAATTAACTCTGGTGGGTTAAATAAAGCCAGAAAAGTTGGTGTGACTGCCTTGGGCTCTGCTGCAGTCAGCAGGGGCTGGAATGCTTCTAGGAGGCATCTGGTGGGGGTGACAGGGAGGCCTAACAGCCACCAGCTGGTGCTGACATGGCCTGCGGCCCATAGACACTCCAGTGTGCTCACAAACATTCTCCTTCAGCTCCACAAAGCCAGGGGAGGATGACTCCAGGGTGCCTTCCTTTCCCTTCCCCAAGTCAAAACTGCTTTGAACATTTCATTTACTTGTATAAAGTATTTAGTAAATAAGCATGACTTCAGTTCTCCAACTTCTATACCTTTTCAGGGGCAGTTTGGCTTCAAAGCAAAAACAAACACCTGGGGTGAATTGGCCTCAATGTTTTTCTGTGTTAGTCATTGGGGTATAAAAAATTTAAGAAACTCCACTGTTGAATTAGTGAAATATGTCAAGCACAGAAGAACAAATACTACATAATAGCTGCAACAGCCACATTCACGGAAGCATATAGTGTAGTGGTGGCTGCCAGGGGCTGCGGGAGGAGGAAGGGGAGGCAGTAAGCAAAGGGTTAAAGTTTCTGATCTGAAGGATTAGTAAATCCTAGAGTTCTACTGTACAGCATAGCGTCTATAGTTACCAGTGCTGTGTTGTACACGTAAATGTTTGCTAAGATGGCAATCTTAGGTTAAGTATTCCCATCCCAAAGTAATAACAGCAGAAGGAAACTTCTGGAGGTGATGAATAGCTTTATGACATAGAATTGTGACGATGTTTTCCTGGGTGTATATTTACCTACAAATTCTCAAGTTGTATAGACTAATTATGTAGGGGTTTGTATGTAAAAAAAAATTTTTTTTTAAAGAAAATCTGTATTATCGTATTTAGACATTACTATTGTATTTTAAAACAATCTTAAGGACCTTTTGGGTTCCAGATTGCAGTGACATCTGTGTAACTACCACATACTCTATTTCGGCACTTCAAAGTTTGAATCATACTTGTTTTTGATCAGTGTCGTTTTCTTGCAAGAGGGTTCACAGAGTAGCATGTTATATGAGTGTGACAAATTTAAAGGGTATCTGGATTAAGAAAAGTTACTCCACTCGTAAACCAGCCAAACAAAAACGAACTGGCAGACCAGGCACCCACAGCCCCCCGCCTCACTCCTGAGACTCAGCCCTGGGGTAATCTTAGCATTGGCAGCCCTGGTGGAAATTGTTTTTGGAGTAGCTGTTAGCTGAAGGGCAGGCAGCCCAGGGTACTCTGGTTCCGCAGTTTACCAGGTGCTTTCACAAACTTTAAGTTCATAAACCTCTTTCAAAATTCTGAAAATTATTTCCGCTCATTAGTTGAAGGATAGAACACAAATCTGCAATAGAAAGTAAAAACTGAGAGCAAAGCGAATGGGCTACAGTCCGAGCTCTTTCGGGCGGGAAGCCAGGAGCCGGGTCCGCCCGAACCTCGCAGCCCGCCAGCCCTGGAGGGCGCTGCCGCCTCGGCGCGGGGCGGAGCCGCGACCTCTGGCTCCTCCCAGGGGCGGGCCGGCAGGGGGCGGGGAAGGAGCCGCCGCGCAGAGCGAGGAACCGCCGCGCGGGGAACCCGTTGATCCCTCGCCGCTCCCGCCCGGGATGGACTGAGCCGCGCCAGCTGCCTGCCGGCGTCGAGACGTTACCGCCGGGCCGGGCTCGGGGCGAAGGACACCGCCTTGCCCGTCCCGCGCAGACGGCCCGGGACCGGCCACAGCGCCGAGGGGATGTCCGGCGGCCGGAGGAGGGGCGGAGCCCCCTGGCACACCTTCTCCCGGTTCTTCGCGGCTCGGAGCCCTTCCCGGGACAAGGAAGAGGAAGAGGAGGAGAGGCCGGGCACGAGCCCGCCGCCCGCCTCGGGCCGGGGAGCTTCCAGGTGGGAGCCGCGGGGGGCGTCGGGGGCCGCGAGCGACTCGCCTGACGGGCTCCTGACCCGACCCCCGCTGCCCGCCGCGCTCGGCCGGGCTGCAGTTAGCACGGCACTTTCCGTTCCCCTTCCTCCATTACCCAAGTGTCCTCCTCCTCCTCCTTGCTGGCCCGCGCGCCGCGTCACTGCCCCGTCCTTGGCCGGTGAAGGCTGGCAGAAGTTCGCGACGGCGGCCGGTGCCTTCCCAGCCGGCCCGGCCGCCGTCGCCGCGCGAGGCCCGGCCTGCCCCACGCCCACGTCTGCGCCCCCAGTTCCGCGCTGGGCGGCCCCCGGCTCCCCGCCGCCGGTAATAGGAAACAGTTGGGGGCCGAGCCGCCGGCCCGGCAGAGAGGGCGCGATCCCAACACCTCTTGTGGAAAGGTAAAGCTTTGGAGCGCTTACCCTCTCGGCCGGTATTTGCCATCTTACTTAAAGTTTCTTAAAATTATTTTTCTTTAAATTGTGATACTGAATTCCCAAGACTTCACCAAAATATAAAAACCTCGCTAGTGTTACTGACCACTGCGTGGACGTTTCTGTGATGCGCCCTTATTTCCTGGCCCACTTGGGAAAATCTGCCTCAAGTTCCCAAACAGACTCCAGAAACCAGGACTTGAGCTGCCTTGATTTCAGTAATGAAAGCTTGCCTCTTTGCAGCCTTTTCTCTTTCCTCCACCTGCTGTAAAATCGAGTATGTTTTTTAGACACGTCTCATTAAAACGCCCTTTCCTGAGTCTTTTCATCCACCCTGAGGGAGGAAAAGGGGTTAAGTGAAATACTGCTGTTTCAAACTTTTGATGTTAGGCTTACACAACTTTCTCCCCCAGATTGCATTAGAAGAGTATAACCCGTGTGGTTGTAGGACGCTCTCCAGGAAGCTGTGTTTACTTCAGATTTTAAGACTTATTGGAGGGTTTCAAACAAAAATGGGTAGGAAACAGAACTGTGACTGACTGAACTGGTTCCATTAGTTTTCAGGTCTTGTGATTTGATTCTAGTCGTTCATGGGCTCCTCACCTTCCCCCCTTGTGAACCATTATGACCAGTTGTTAATAAAATACCGCATCTTTCCAAGAAAGCTCCTCTAATAGGTAAACTTCTCCTGAGAAGCTTCAGCTGTTACTGCCCTGTTAATGGAAAATTTAAAATGCAAAGTTAAAACACTTTTTGAAGTCTGACAGGGCTCACCCAGAACTCAGATCTGCTGGTGTGGGCAGACAGCCTGCAGGGCCTGCTGTCACTGTAACACAATCTTGGATAGCATGGAAGTGGTGTTTAAAAGAAATCCCAAGTAGACCCGGTGAAAGTTGTAAACTAGTCAGTGTTAGCAAGAATAGGCAGGCCAATTTCAGGTTCGTATCAGAATTGTTCTGATACCCCGCCTGCCTTCTTGCCTTATTTTGGCTTTTTAGGCACTTCTCTAATCTCTCCTCTCTCTGGAGCTAACTGCTGTAGAAATTGCTCTCTTGTCTACTTAACACTCTCTGTTCTCATTATCTCCAGATAGGCACAGACTGGCTTTTTGACAATGAAGATTCTAGTGGTACTTATATGCGCACTAATTTTGTCCTCATCATTTTTAGAACTTGCCAGATACTAAGGGGATAGTGAATAATCCTTTGTGTGCGTGTTTTACCTTTTAAATAAGCTGAAATATTTTTTTCAAGGATATAAAACATGCAAAACCTTTATGGAAAGTTTAATGAAACAAATGGAAACGCCTAGTAGTTACCCAGTGACCTAGAAACACAGCACCCTGGTGTTAACACGATGGGAAAGAGAATTGTAATTTGTCACCGATTTTATTTCAAAATGAAAGGGTATTTTGGCTGTTTCTCTTAGAGGCAGTAAAAACTTGCAGTTTGGGAGCCCGATTTACCTTTGTGCTGGTGATTTTAGATGCAGCGGAGGACATTCAGCATACTTGGAGTGCTCAGTGTGGTAGGGATCTAGAGGTGACTGAGGAAAGGGCCCCTTCTCTCATGGAACCTGGAGAAGCTGACAAAATACTTGAAAATAGTAGTAATACTAACATGAGTATTTTTAATGTTATGCTTAAGGTTGGACAGACCTATATGATCAGTACCCTCATTTTACTGTAAAAAACAGAGTTAAAGTTGCTGAAACTCATACAACTACTTTTCAGCCAATGAACAATATTAAGTTCTATGCTGTGCCAATGCTCTGAGGCCCCTTAACATACGTTAAGGAGTAATGTCTGCATTGTGACTTTTTTGGTGTACTTGAAATGCTTTCTCATCAGTACTTCTGTTACACAGTCCCCTTTTCTCCACTTCCAGTGTTTTCTGTGAATTTTATTACATAAACTTAAGTGTGTACAAATACATAATGGGACATAAATGCCTTAAGAACAGAATTCCTTAACAGTTCCTTAAGACCATTTGAAAGTTTAACAGACATAAACACAAGACCAATAAAAGTCTAATTTATAGTGTTATCCTCGCAGCTGTTTTTGGGCTACTCAAAAAATGCATGTGGCTGGGGCACATACGGGGCCTTTAGGGGTTGCCATGACTGCAGGTCTGTACCACACCATGACTGAAGTTTTGCAGTATTTCCCTGTTTGAACCATAGGAAAACCTTTGCTTTTATGGTGTGCTACAAGTTATTTGGGCTTCATTTGATGTGAACACATTTATGTATTGAATTTGCCGCTCTTCTCGTTAACCTTCATCTATTGAAGAAAGCTTGTTGCACACCAACACCTATCTATATATGTAAATTCAGGGATGGGTACTTGAATTGCATGTCAGTATTCACACCTTAGGTAGTTGACCAGATCCAGGAAGTACTTATATGAGTTTATTTAGATTATATAGAAATGAAAACTGCAGTTGAAGTTTTCATAGGAGACTTAAAAATGCCGGATTCTGTGGATCCCAGTTTGATTTGATTCTAGTCGTTCATGTGCTCCTCAGCTTCCCCCCTTATGAAACATTTCCATTATGACCAGGTGTTAATAAAATACCACTTCTTTCGAAGAAAGCTCCTCTAATTGGTTAACTTCTCCTGAGAAGCTTCAGCTATTACTGCCCTGTTAATGGAGAATTTAGAATGCAAAGTTACATGGTGGTTAAAAACAGTTTTTGAAGTCTGACAGGGTTCACCCAGATCTCAGATCTGCTGGTGTGGGCAGACAGCCTGTGGGGCCTGCCATCATTGTAACAACACTAACAGAATTACAGAATCACTGCTGTAATGTATAGCCCAGTTTAGGAGCACACAAGGATCACAGACTCATTAGAAGTGATGGGGTGGGCAGGGAGGGCGTCAAGGCACTGGTGCTGTTTCAGTAGGTAGAGAACTTAACCAGGAAGATAGAGGAAACAGGTCTTCTAGGCTGAGCAGACGCTTATAGGGAGTTATGATGTACTGGGGACTATATACGTTAGTGGGACAGAGTGCAAGAGGCAGTAAGAAAGAGTGGAGCTGGTCATAGAGTTAAGAACTGGAGACAGAGTGGCTCTTGATTTAAAGTTTAGATTATTGAGAAAGCCCATTTAATGGGTATTACTGAAAAATAAACTTTGGAGGATATCTGCCTCTAATTTTCTCTACTTTGAGAAAATGATAGCTCAATTTTGGTTCTTTGCTTTATCATGTATAATGGAAAAATTTTAAATGAGCTCCGTATGTTTGTAACTCAGGATGGGGATAGGAAGAAGAGAACAGGATTTATCAAGGCCTGACCTTGCACTTACTCCAGGACTGGTACTTTTACTTGGAGCATCTTATTTTCAGCTGGGAAGGTTGATAGGCATGGTGATAGCATGTCACTATTCTGACAATTTAGGAAGCTGAGGGCGGAGTCATTCATAGTGGTTGATGCTGTTGGCATCTTGGGTGGAACAATTCTTTGTTGAACTGGACTCTCCTGTCCTTGAAAGGACATTTGGCATCCAGGACGCCACCCACTAATTGCCAGTAGCACTTCCAGTCATTGGGACAACCCAAAACACCCATCCGTGTGGGCGGGATGGAGAGTGGTACCCCTCCCAGTGGAGAAGGAGTGGATTAGTTTTGGGGATGAGATTTGACCTTCAGTTTCTCTGACTTCAAGCTCTCCCTTTTTTCCACACTGTCTTGCCCACCACCCTTTTCGAACTGTGCTTCAAAACATATCTGAATATGTTAAGTCAATTGGACCTTTCCTTACTTTGTTCCAGAATGACTGCAGTATGGCCCATTTCAGATAGATTCCTTTTGGCTGTTCTTTGAGTGTCCAGTATAGTGCTACTGATGGAAAGAAGGTAAGACAGGATCACTATGCCCCAGGCCAGGGGCTGTATCTTCGGTGTCCCCTTTTACTAGCTCAAGAAAGGAGTAAATCTTTGTTGTTGGAGCAGGAAAGCACTTAAAGTGGTTTTCAACCAGGGGTAGTATACCTGCCACCCTCAAAGTGGTCATTTAGAAACATGGAATCTTAAAGGTTTCCAGGCTCTCAGTTTAAAGTCCAAAGAACTTTTGTTTGTCATTGTGGCTGAGGCTGTTACATGGGCAGAGCCAACATGCTAATGGCTTGTTGTAGAAAACAGTCTCATAAAAAATGTCAGTTGTGCCCCTGATACATGAGTATTACTGGCCTTCAACTTAAAAGTACTAGAGTTGACCATTGTTCAGTTATGTGGGGAAAGGGAGTTTTGTTCTCTGAATTTTCATGGTAACTATATTTTCATTGATTTGACAGCACTATAGAAAATAATTGATAACTAGTTTAGTTGAATAGGAGATGCCTTTGTTGTGTTGAGGCACTACACCAGTGGTTCATAACTACAGTAATAAAGATGACTGGAAAATTCCAGAAATCCTCAGCAGCAGTGTTTATTTTCTGAGAATCTTGAGCTTCAGGTTAACAGCACAAAACATACTCTTGGAAGTGGAGTCAAACTATAGACTGTTTTGTGCTGTTGAAACTGTACTTCTTTTAAAGTGAGATTTCAGTCTTTTGT